ATTTACCAAAGAACTTTATAATTTGATTAGACGGAATGCATCAGATTTGTCAACTTAAATATAAACGTGATTAGTCCATGGTTTTTTTTAAAAAAAAAAATTAAAAAACCAATCAAATTAATCATTTTCTGCAATAAAAAGAAAATGTGGCCCAATTTTATATAGGTTGAGCAAATTAATAAGGCATTAAATTTGGTTTCCCCAATAGCATCCAAGTGTTTAATCAAGTAATTATGTGTTACTATCATGCAGAAACATTGCCAAGCCACACTGCCACATTACATGTGTCTCTCACATGCATGTTTATGCAAATAAGAGAATTTGAGATCCCACTGCCTTGGCATTTAGGGTTAAATAGAATTTCTATTTAAAAATAAATAAATTATAGAGCTGGTTCGAGTCAGTTGAGAAGTTTTACTCATGTTCGTCGTACTGCTACTTGGATGGCTCTCTTTGTCCTTTTTTAATTGATCTAATAAACTATTATCACTTTTTCTTTTTAAAAAAAACACAAATTATAGAGGAAAAGAAGAAAGGTTTAAGATCATTATAGCAGCTGCTAAACATTATTCTTATAACATAAATTTCGAAGAAATTACACTTTTCCTAATGCAATTTACATTCTTTAATTCTTAAACCTGATTAAAGTAGCACTAATGGTAATTACAATAGATATTGATCCAAACATAAAAGATCTCACAGCCCTCATTTACACAAGGCAATTAAAACATACAATGAATTAAGGATTGCTAATTAATCATTTATATATTAATTGATCAATCTCAACATGTTCTTAATTGATATATCTGTACTAAAAACTTTGACCAAAATTATCACTCTCACTGCCAGAGATCTTCATCCATGCATTTGCTTGGCCTGCAAAAGAAAATTACAAGCATAAACATCAATGCAAAAGTAACTAAGCACCTAATTAATCATTCAGTTTTAAAATTAGGGTTCAAGAACTTTTGAATGGAATTTTCCACTATAACAGCTGAACCCCAGTAATTTTCTTACCTTTCTTCCCATGCTAGAAGCCCTAGAGCTCTTAGGTTTAGGACTTGCCATGGCACTTTCTTTGTGGATCAAAGGGTTCCCATGAGAGTGATCAGGTGGTGGGATTGATGAGTGGGTCTCTGGACCTCTATAATCAATCTCATAAACCTCGGTACCCACTACATCTGATCCACCTACTAAAACCCAGCAAAACAAAATTAACAAAAAAATTAATCAACTTAATTAAATATGGCCATATTAATCAACTTTGAATATAAATGATGAAGGCAGAACTTCAAACCTCTAGAAAAACAAGGTGTGGCAAGCAAGAAGAGAAGAAGGAAAGTGAGGATTGTAGGGTTCTTGAGCTCCATTTTCATGGCAATGAGGCTCAACGCAGACTCTGCAATAACCCAAATGAGCATTTCACATTTATATATAAAAAGGGTTCAAGAAAGAAGCAAGGCATGAGAGGTCGTTTATTTTATTTTATTTATAAATTAATTTGTATTTAATTATCGGCTTTTCTTTTCACAATTGAAACCATCATCACCATCCAACACAGCAATAAGTTGTGCGGTACCGAT